AGCTCCATGAACAAGCAGCTGATAACAGGCATAAAATCCTCGTCCTGGATACAGACCTCGCCATTGCACGGAAAGACTTGGAAGTATATAAGAATACCGTGGAAAGCATGGCAAAAGCTCAAAATGAAGCGCAGGCCTTTGCTAGCCAGGTGAGTAACGGAAGCAGGAAGATGATTTTTTCTTGGATGATTCTGCTTGACGTAGTAGTTGGTTCCAGGAAACCCAACTTAAACAGCAGCTTGAAGACATGTCCGCAGAATTATCGCTGTTCAAAGAGGTCAAAGGTAAGCTCGAAATGGAATTGGCTACCAAAGAGAGATTGCTGAAGAGGGCCATGGACTCTAGAAAAGAGTACGAAATGTGAGCAGGTTTTAGAGCTAATGACTTACATCGCTTCAGAGTTGCAGTTTTTTTTTTCAGGGATGCGCAAGCCTCAAACTGGTTAAGAGATAAGGCTAAGATGAGTCAACAGATTGAAGACTTACAGCGACAAGTAAGCATATCAATACTTTCTTTCTTCGAAAACATCTCTATTTCGCTTTGTAGCATGTAACGGAAACAATGTTCCACTTACTTTAACATAAATTCAAAATGTTTTGATACTTATGCAAGAAAATAGGAAACCTTCATGGAATTGAACATTGGTTGGCTCAATTGATCAGTTTATCAAAGAAGATATACTCTATCTCATCCTAGTCTCTTTGATTTGCACACCCGCCACGCGAGTGCCTTGCGCACGCTTGCATTTATATCGGGTAATCAGCCTCATCGACCAAGACTAAAGCGAATCCTTCGTATTGTGGATGCGTAGTCGCACGCAGAAAAAAATACTGCATCTGCGACGAACTTTTTGAGTCGTATCGGCTGTACTTTTCTGTGTAAGCGAGCGTTTTCACATTTATTGAAACTCGCTTGCTCGTCTCTTCGTTTTTAAATACCAAAAGCAAGCAGAACTAAACAAACTATTCTTGAAATCTTAGCGTAGAAAAGAGATTGACAAGCATGATAAGACGCCCTGCTCTTCTTCCATGTTCACCATCATATTTTATATATGCGGATTCGATGTAGCGCAAAATTAGAACGTCAATTTGAGCATGTTCAATTTTTTTAGTTGATAGACGCTACCGATGCGTTGGAACAACGGCAGACGACATCCACCGATAGCCGATATCGTGAAGAACGCAAGCGATTCCTAGAGGAAATTGATTCATTGCAGCAGA